TAAGAACAACTGGAGTTAGAGAAAAATTAGAGGAAGCACATACGGGATTGAAAAACCTGTTTATATAAATCATAGCAGAAAACTTCCCAAGTATAAAGAAAAAAACCAATATACAGGTGAAGAAGGCTTACACAATGTCGAGTACCTACAATGAAAAGAGAAGCTCCCCAAGCCACATCACTGTCAAAATCACAGAAGTCAAACACAAAGAAAAAATCTTAGAAGCTGTCAAAAAAAGCAAAAAAACTCACTTCTGAAGTTAAATGCGCTAGGATTACTACAGACTTTTCAACATAAACTGTAAAGAGCAAAGTGGAGTGAAGCGTTTCAAGCCCTAAAAGAAAACAACTTCCAACCAAGATTAGTAAGTCCTACAAAACTATCTCTCAAATTTTATTAAAAAGGAGAACCTACCATGACAAAGAACAACTTAAGAAATGCGTAACACCAAACTATCACTCCAAAAATTTCTCAAGGATATCTTAGACACAGCCAATAAATACAACAGTGTAAGAATTTTGATGGAATAAATACATCAAACGGGGTACGCAGTTAAACAAAAATGGAAAAGAAAAGGTATCAATCACAGAAAAATAGTGCAATGACAGAAAAAAAAAGTCAGTACCTTTAAGCAATAATTCTCAATGTAAAATGTCCCAACTCCTCAATTAAATGACACAGCTTGGCAGACTTGATAAAAAAAAAAAAACTCAATGGGTTTCTACACACAAGAAATATATCTAACCCTCAAGGAAATTCATAGACAAAAAACTCAAAGGACAGAAATATATTCCAAGCATCAAGACCTGAAAGAAAGCAGGAGCATCAGTCTTATTCTCAAAGTAGATTTCAAACTAAATCTTCTCAGAACAGGCAAAGAATGTCACCACATATTAGTTAAGGGAACATTTCAACAGGAGAGAGAACAATTGTAAGCTTATACACAATGAATATTGGTGCACCTAACTTTATAAAACAAACACTTTGGGACAAAAAGTCAAATAAACATCAACAGCATTGTAGTAGATGACTGCAAAACCCCAATTCCACAAAAAGTTTAATTAGGTAAAAAAAACAAACTCACAACTTCACCACATGTTCAATCTTATGGACTTAGTAGATATTGCACAGTGTTCTACACTACTAAAATAGAATACACATTCTTCTCAGCAATACATGGAAATTTCTCCACTTAAATAAACACAAAAGAATGGGAATTACCGCATGTATACTATCAGATCATAGCACACTGAAATTAGAATCCCATCACAAAAACACCTAGCAAAGTCAAGAAAATAAATCTTGGAAATGTCTTAATAAAGGAACCATGGTGTGGAATAATGCCCGGGTTTCATATTATCCTCTAAATAGTACACAAAGAAAGCAAATGAAGGGGCTGGGGATTTAGCTCAGTGGCAAAGCGCCTGCCTGGCAAGCGCAAGGTCGTGGGTTCAGTTCCCGGTACCGGAGAAAAACCAAAAAAAAAAAGAAAGCAAATGAAAATATCAATGCAAACATTTTGTGAACAAAATTGACATTTTTATCACATCACACAAATAAGGATTAGAATATGTATTCCAATACCAAATAAATTCTGTGCCAAAATAGAAGACAATGTGACCAAGGTACAAACTAAAATTACTTGAACCAAAAATCATAAAAATCTCAAAAATTACCAAGACCAAAATGACACAGCTGTTGGAATAATTTGACAAGTGTTTAAAGAAATTAGTGTAAACATGGTAGAATAAGAAACTATAAATATGCACAACACATGGAAAAAGCATTTGCACAAAGATATAGAAAATACATTAAACTAAAAACTAAAAAGGTTTTTATACTGAAAAATACAATCAGTTAAACAGAAAACTAATGCATAGGCTCAATGAAAGAAAAGGGTGTGAGGAGAATTTATCCAACTTGAACAAAGAAATAAACGAGAGTGGCTAAAAACAGAATGACACAAAGACATTTAGAACAACAGCACTGAAGTTCTAAAAGGAGCGGACAAAGTGAAGGGGGCTGAGGATAAAAAAATCTGTGAAGAAATAATTCTGAAACATACTCAGTGCTTGCTTCGGCAGCACATATCCTAAAATGGAACGATACAGAGAAGATTAGCATGGCCCTCGCGCAAGGATGACACGCGAATTCATGAAGCATTCCATATTTTAAAATAATAATAATAATAAAATAAAACACGTTCACGTTTAGCAAAAGATGCAGACCTATAGATTCAAGAAGCTTAATGAAATTCAGCCCCCAAAATCCTTTTCTAGAATTGTGAGAACTTCTAAGAACTAAAGACAACTCAAAAGAACAAATATAAAGAAATAAGA